GCAGGAGGCTCGCCCGGGAGCTGGCAGACGAAGTGCGGCGGTGCCACCAAAATGTGCCTCGGCCCATCGCCCTCGGCCCCCACGGCCGGGGTCGCGGCGTCGGCCCGTGGCTCCTGCGAGTAGCCAGGTCTTCGTCGTCTAGCTCATCATCGTCGTCGTCCTCCTCCTTCTCCTCGTTCTCCTCTTCCTTCCCCTCCTCCTCCTTTTCCGCCTCCGTTTCTTCCTCCTCCTCCTCCTCCTCCTCCTCCTCCGTTTCCTCCTCCTCCTCCTCCTCCGTTTCCTCCTCCTCCTCCTCCTCCCTCCTCCGCCTCCTCCTGCTCCTCCGCCTCCTCCTCCTCCTCCTCGTCTCCCGTTTCCGTGGCCACGTCTCGACTGAGCCCCGTCCTGCGGCAGCGGGCTCCAGACCCGGGGCTTCTCCCAGGGAGCCAGCTCTGCGCCCCCAGAGGCCGAATACGGAGCAAAAACCTTATGGCCAGTTTTTTCCCTTAGGAGGGACGAGGAGGAGGAGGAGGAGGAGGAGGAGGAGGAGGAGCAGGAGGAGGAGGAGCAGGAGGAGCAGGAGGAGGCGGAGGAGGAAGAAGCAGGCGTGCAGAGCAGGAATGAGGAGCAGCGGGGAGGAGGAGGAGGACAAGCAGGGAGGAGGAGCAGGAGCAGGAGGCGAAGCAAGAGGGGGAGGACGAGGAGGAAACGTGAGAAGCAGGAGCAGGAGGGAGCGCGGAGGAGTGAGGACCCCCCCCCCGTGCTCTCTGGGCCCCGTCCTGCTCCTCGGGCAGCACCGTGGCGCGGAAGACCCACTCGCAGTCCCTCCGCGACACGAACTCGTACGCGCCCGCCGGGCCTGCGGCGCCGCACGCCGCACAGGCGCACCGCCGCACGCCCTCCGCCGGCCCGCGGCACGCGGGGGCGAGCGCGGCGAGGAGCTCCACCTCGGCGCTGGCGCCGTGCTCCTCGAAGGCGCCCGCGGCCCCGCCTCGCTCTGCCCCTCCGCGCTCCCTCACTCGCTGCCCACTCGCTCCCTCGCTGCCCACTCGCTCCCTCCCCCCCGCCCCCCTCCTCGGCCTCCTGGCCTCCTCCCGGCCTCCCTCTGCTCCCCCTTCTCCTCCTCGCTGCCTCGCTCGCTCCCTCCCTCCCTCCCTCCTTCCCTCCCTTCCTCCCTCTCGCTCCCTTGCTCCTTCCCCCTCCCTCTCCCTCCCTCCTCCCTCCCTCTCGCTCCTCCCTCCCCTCCCTCCCTCCTCCCTCCCTCCTCCCTCCCTCTCGCTCCCAATCGCTCCCTCCTCCCTCCTCCTTGCCCCCTCGTCTCTCCGTTGATTGGCAGTGTGGATGTGTAGGCTATGCGATGCGAGCTATCTGGAGCAAGCTGTGCGGCGTAAAATGAGTCGTGCAAGCAGCGCCGTGCGAGCTGTATGATTGTAAGGCTTGTGGTGGAATATACGTGGTGTGTGCTATGCGGTGCAAGCTGTGTGGCGTAGGCTATGTGGCGCCCACGTAGCGCCCGCAAGGCGAAACCTCGCCACACCGGCCTAGCGCACGGGGCTCTCAGGAGGTGCCCAGAGCTCCCCACCAGGCTTAGGTCGGGCGTGTCCTCCTACAGGCGGATTTTGGACAATAATTGAAAAAAGCAGTCAAAACATGCTCAACAACAGTCAAACAAAAAAGAAACATAGCCCCAACATTTGTCCCTACCTAGGCTCTGCCTAGAAAGGTTCTTGCTCGTTTGCTTAAAGGGCCGGGCAGTGCAAAGCGCCCCGGGCGGTTCCCCCAGTCCCCTGGGAGCCAAGCAAAAGCAAGAGCAAAGGTAAAAGCAAACGCGCGGTTCTCCCAGTTGCGCTCCCTGGGTGCCAAGCAAAAGCAAAAACAAAGGCAAACGTGAAGGCCAAAGCGAAGGCAAAGCAAAAGCATAGCATAGCATAGCATAGCATAGTATAGAGCATCATAGCATAGCGCAGCATATCATAGCATAGCATAGCCTAGCCTAGCCTAGCCCAGCATAGCACTGCGCAGCATAGCATAGCATAGCATAGCATAGCAGAGCATAGCAGAGCATAGCGCAGCACAGCATCCACTATTGCTGCTGCTATATCTATACATATGTATATATAGATATAAGTATGTACTTCTATGTGTGTGCGCACGTATCTTCCATGCATGTTGCCCGTCTGCGGGCCATCTTGAGCCCTTAGTGGGGCAGCTTGAGCCCTTAGTATTCACGAAGGTTTCGCACATAGCACCGGCCGGGAGACATGAAACCCGACGCATGATCGCATGTCCTACATGTCTTTCTATATATGCAAATATATATGTGTATAAACACATAATAACACCCATGTGGAATGCAACTCCTAGAGGCCCCAACTCCTAGGTAGGGTCGCACTGGGATAATTATTTTATATATAGCTATGTTTGAGTATTCCTCCTGTAAAAGGACACGCCCGCATTAACACCAGGGGAAACCTCGCCACACCCATCCAAATACTGATCAAAATGAGGACCCCCCTACATGCAAGCACTGCGTGGGGGAAAAGATTCTCCCCCCACCCGGCGCGTCGGCCGGGTGGGCCAGGCATTTCGTCTCAGACTCCCCCCCACCGCTTAGGGTTCGTGAGCGGTGACGAGACGTGGAGGTTCACTTTCGCAGCAGCTAGACAATTGGAGGGTAGCCCGTCTTCAAGTTCTGGTCGCCTTAGCGCCGCGTACATTCATGTAAACAAAAAACACTCGACCAGCTACACGACTGGAGGGCGGCTCGTTTTCGAAGCGTGGATTTCGCAAATTCAATAGCTCCACGCGCACTCGTTCGAAGTGCGCCAGCAGCTGCAGAGACGGAGGGCGACCTCTTTCCAAGATGCCGCGCACCTTCGTCTCAAGGCACCTCGTCGGCTGCAGGGACGCAGGGCGGCCCGGCTTCAGCATCCGAAGAACTTCCAGCAAGCAGCATCTGCTCGCCATCGCGCGGACGTCCATTCCCTTGTGCTTTTGTCGGTTTCGTGCGTGGCTTTTTCGCCAAATGATCAAGGATGCTCCTCGATGGCCCTCGCCGAAGGAAACATGCACACGTCCGAGCGACGCCAGGTCTAAACAGTCTTGTGACAGCCACGCGGATGGAGGGCGACTGGTGTTCTACGTGGGGATCTCGCTGGAGCTGTCCTGAAGGTTGCATGATCCGCACGCTGATGCCGTGCAGCTGTTGCGCAGATGAAAGGCGCTCCTCGCTCGACGGACGGGGTGCAATCTGATAGTGTCAAACAAGGCTACACGCCGGTCGGAAGAAGTGGGTTAAAGCATGAAGTAGAAAGGCGTTGGGAGTAGATTGGGCTTCCACCCGCCCCCTGGAGAGGAGGAAAGAAGGAAAACCGCTCAACTCTTGAAGTAGGAAGGCGCCTAAAGTAGATTAGGATTTGGGCATCCAAAAATACCTACTTTCAACGACCGGCTTGTATCGCTGGACACGTCCTTGACTTGCACGGCCCTGCCTCGTCGAGCTCCCTGTGTCCGGAGGGATGCAGAGAGGAGGAGGAGGAGGAGGAGAAGGAGGAGGAGGAGGCGGAGGAGGAGGAGGAGGCGGGGGGAGGAGTGGGAGCAGTGAAGAGGAGGAGGGGGAGAGGAGGGGGAGGAGGAGGAGGCGGAGGAGGAGGAGGAGGAGGAGGAGAAGGAGGGGGAGGAGGGAGGAGGAGAGGAGGAGGAGGAGGAGGCCTTTCCAGAGTGCGGCGCTCGCCTGCACGTCGAGCCCAGCGGGGGGCGCCTGTCTTCCACTGGGGCGCTTCCTGCAGTGAATGCAGACGCTTTGTGAGGACTTGTGAGAGCGGCACGTCGGACAGGAGGGTGCGTTGCAGCAGCGTTGATAAACCTCTTCCTGCTCCAGCTTCTCCTCCTCCTCCTCCTCCTCCTCCTCCTCCTCCCTCCTCCTCCTCCCCTTCCTCCTCCCTCCTCTCTCCTCCTCCTCCCCTCCTCCTCCTCCTCCTCCTCCTCCTCCTCCTCCTCCCCCGCCTCCTCATCACTCCACCTCGCCTTCCTGCCCCTCCCCATACCCCTCATTGCTTCCTCCCTTCCCCCATCAGAAACAAGAGATCAACACGAGAGTCTCTCGACAAGGCGCAGGGGCTCGAGAACCTTCGAGGGCCTTCCCGCATTCAAGAACCTCCCCTTCTGCTCCCCCATTCCCTCTTCAGGTGCGGCCGAACCGCGCCCTTCCGAGATGCCAAGTGACTTCACGCAAGGAGCTTGAACGACGAGCCCAAAGGGTGTGTTGCCGGATACATGGCGCTCTGTTACTCTTGTAGTGACACTCTCGAAGAGGAGGGGGGAGGAGGACGAGAGGGCGGGGAAGAGGAAGGGGGTGGGGGGGGCAGCGCCGTATGGCGGCACCCCTCCTACAGCCTGAGCCTGAGGAGAAGGGGGGATGAGGAAGGGGGGGAGGAGGAGGGGGGTGGAAGGATGGGGGAGGAGGGGGGAGGAGGGCGGGAGGCGAGGAGGAAGAGGGAGGGGAGGGGAGGAGGGGAGGAAGAGGCAAGAGGAGGAGGAGGAGGAGGAGGAGGTAGGAGGAGGACGAGGAGGAGGAGGAGGAGGAGGAGGAGGAGGAGAAGGAGGAGGAGGAGGAGGAGGAGGGGGAGGAGGGGGAGAGGATGGAGGATAATGAAAAGGGAGGAGGGGAGGGGGAGGAGGGGGGGGGAGGAGATGGGGAGGGAAGGGGGGAGGAGGGGAAGGGGGGAAGGGGGGAGGAGGGCGGGGGGGCGGGAGGGGGGAAACGGGGATCTCTGGGCTCGGGGCGCTGATGCCTGCTGGCGGCGGTGTTCGCCCCGGCGGGTCCTCCGCGGGCGGCAGGAGCCAGGCGGCCCAGAAGGCCCCCTTGGTGGGCAACAGGTGCCCGTGCGGCGGCAGGAGCGGCTCGTCAGCGCCGGGCTGCCCCTTCGCGGGGGCAAGAAGGGGGGGAACGAAGACAGAGGAGAAGGGAGGAGGAGGAGGAGGAGGAGGAGGAGGAGGAGGAGGGGAGGAGGAGGAGGCAGCGAGGAGGAGGAGGAGGAGGAGGAAGAGGAGGAGGAGGAGGCGGAGGAAGGAGGAGGAGGAGGCGGCGGAGGAGGAGGAGCGGAGGAGGAGGAGGAGGCGGAGGAGGAGGAGGGAGGAGAGGAGGAGGGAGGAGGGGAGGAGGAGGAGGAGGAGGAGGGGGAGGAGTGAAGAGGAGGAGGGAGGAGGCGGAGGAGGAGGAGCAAGGAGGAGGCGGAGGAGGAGGAGGAAGAGGACACGAGGATGGAGGGGAGCAGGGAGGGGAGGGACGGAGGAGGAGAAGAGAGGACGAGGAGGAGCAGGAGGAGGGAGGAGGAGGAGGAGGAGGTGGAGCTCAGGTGTTGCACCGTCTGCGGCGGACGGCCGTCATCGGACCCCCGAGGCCAGCAAAACCCCCAGGCCAGCAAAACCTGAAGCGAATCCGTGGGAGTCCTGATGTATCATGTAGCGACCCAGGGCTACTTGATATACCTCCTCCTCATCATCATCATCATCCTCTCCTTCCCTTCCCTCCTCCTCCTCCTCTCCTCCTCCTCCTCCCTCCCTCCTCCGCCTCCTCCTCCTCCTCCTCCTCTCCTCCCTTGCTGCGCTCCTCCTCCGCCTCCTTCTCCTTTCCTCGCCTCCTCCTCCTCCCTCTCCTCCTCCTCATCTCCTTCTCCTCCTCCTCCTCCCTCCTCCTCCTCCTCCTCCTCCTCCTCCTCCTCCTCCTCCTCCCCCAGAAGCCAACAAATCCCAAGCGTGTTCCCCCCACCCTGGGGACCCGCCCTAGCATTAGTGGAGGCATGTCCTTCCACAGGCGGAATTTGAAAGGAGAATCATAAACCATAGTCAAGCCTACTCAAACATGATCAAGACAAGGGAGCACGACAGATCGTCACCAGACTGCGGTTGCACCGTTCTTGAATATTCCTCCTGTAGAGGGAAATGCCCGACTTAACCCTAGCATGTTCGTGATGCAGAGTCCGCCCGCCTCATGCTCCCGACGCAGCCCAAGCGGCCCCAGCAGGACGGCCGCGGGGAGGGAGAGGAGGGGGCTGCCTCATCCAGCTCGTCTCTGTGACTTTTATTAACGACTTCTGCTGTCTTTCATGCTCGCATTCCTCGCGCTACCCCTCTTGGGGTATGACAGCTTCCCCAGCCCTTTGTTCCACTGCATGCTCCTCCATGTCCCTGATCAAGGCAACTCGCCTGGACATCGTTTCTGGATGTGGGGATGTGTGGAGCCTCTGGAATTTTCATTTTCGCCCGCCACTTAGATCACGCAACTCTGATGGTGGCCGTTCCCGAACATGCCGGTCATGCCATGTCTGTGTTGGCCATATGCTCCAGAACTTGGTGGCCATGCCGTGTCGTGATGATTATCATGTGAGGTAGTGGTGTCCGTCTCTTCCACGCTCGGCGAGCGAGTTGAGACCCTTACATCTCTCTCGAAGGAATGCTATGCACAACTGGTATTCGAAGAAGGCGTTGGAGATTGCACGCGGTATTTGCTGCCCCATCGAGCACAAGCTCGCTGAATGCATTGTAGGTATCAGTGCGTGTGCGTGCTGAGATACATTCGAAATCGACGTATGCCGACCCACATGCAACAACTATGATCGCCACTCAGATCCGCTACCGTGCCTCCAGGCACGAAGCGGAGTGTCGTCAGGATCCTTCGAGTTCTCTGACCTGTAAGCACTGCGAAAATTCTTTCAGAGCCCCGCAACCTGGAGTTTCGTGACCCTTCCCAGGTGCATGCTGAGGGCCCCGCGACGCGCCAAGGTTTCCAAAAGCGCCCAATCCAATCCAAGAGGCCTCCAAGACAGCTCAAGAACGCCCCTAAACGTACAAAATGGCCCCAAGATGGCCGAAGAGGCCCCCAAGGCGCTCCAACAGTGCTCCAAGCGGCCCCGCCCACAGGGCCCCGAGCGGTCAAAATCATTGATTTTCGTTTGGTAGTTGTAGGGTTTGGGAGCTCTCGCCTTTTCGGGCGTTCGATGCTCCAAGACGGCCCAGGAGGCCCCCAGGAACACCCCAAGACGGCCCAAGAGGCCCGCAAGACGGCCCAATAGGGCCCCAAGACGGCCCAAGAGGGCCGCAAGACTGTCAAAGAGGACCCAAAGAGGGGTCCCAAAGAGGTCCCAGAAGGGGGAGCACGAAGCGACAGTTCGAGCCCTCCGCCCCCATATGACCTTCGAAACCGCCAGCAGGCTCCCAGGAGGCCGCCCAGAAGCTCCAGGAGCCCCCGAAGAGACCCACGTCAAGCCCCAAGGGACGCACAAGAGGCCCCCGAGAGCCCCCAAACACCGCTACACCGCCTCCAAGAGTCTTGCGGGAGCCCCCACCCCCCCAGGAATCCCCACAGGCATCCAAGAGGCCTCGCACCTACAAGCCCGGCGAGATGGCGGGATGCGCCGAAGACCACGAAATTCGATGATTTGAGATACTGTCCAGTCCTGAATATGGAGAATGCTCATCGGGGGGGATATATATTTGTGTATATATATATATACAAATATACATATATACACAGATCGTGTGAGGGGGAGAGAGAGAGAGAGAGAGAGAGAGAGAGAGAGAGAAAAAAAAGAGAGAGAGGGAGAGAGAGAGAGTGAGAGAAAGAAAGAAAACACAGAGAGAGAGAGAGAAACAAGAAGAGAGAGACCAAGAGAAAGAGAGAGAGAGATTTAAAGAAACTGAGAGGCAGAGAGAGAGAGAGGAGGTCCGCCGAGCCGCTGCCCGGCTGGGCGCGCAAGAGGCGCGCAGAGACAAGTGAGGAAGATGAGGGGGATGGAGGGAGGTGTACAGACATATATATATATATATATACATACATATATATACACACACCTATACGACCACCCTTCGGGTGATAAGGAGGTTCGGGGGGGGGAGGAACCAACGTCTCACTCGATCGGTCTCGCTATCGACCTAACTATCGATATCACTATCGGTCTCGCTCGATCGATCCCACTCGATCGATCTCACAATCGATATCACTCGATCTATTTCATTCGACCGATCTCACAATCGATTCGACGATCGATCCCACAATCGATCTCGCAATCGATCTCACTATCGATCTCACAACATATCTCACATTCAGTCTCCCTATCGATATCACAATCGATATCACAATCAACGTCGTCATCATCATCACCAACATCATGCTCATGAACGTCATCAGTTTCATCACCATCATCATCATCATCATCGGGACACCATCATCAAACATCACCTCATCACCATCACAATCAACATCATCTCCATCACCATCATCATCGGGACACCATCACCACCACCACCATCATTATCATCAACATCAACCGCATCATCATCGGGACACAATCATCACCATCATCATCATCATCGGAACACCACCATCATCATTTCACCATAAGAATCATGAACAGCATCGTCAATATCATCACCATCGGGGCACCATCATCATCAGCACCATCATCATCATCACCATCAGCTGCATCATCATCGGGACACCATCATCATCGTTACCATCACCATCCTCATCATCAGCATTGGGACATCATCATCATCATCGGCGTCAGCATCATCATCGCCATCGGGCCACCATGACCAAAATCAGCATCACCCCATCCTCATTCCCATCACCAACATTTTCATCACCATCGAACACCATCATAATCATCATCACCATGTTCATCACAATCATCGGGACACCAGCATCACCAGCACCATCATCATCATCATCAGCAACAACATCATCATCATCAACCTCATCATCATTATCTTCGGGACACTATCATCACCATCTTCATCAACATCATCTCACCATCGCCTCATCAACATCATCAGGATCATAAACAGCATCATCATCATCATCGGGGCAACATCACCATCATAAGCAGCATCCGCAACATCAACATCATCACCATCGGGACACCATCATCCTCACCACCATAACCATCATCATCATCACCATCATCGGGACACCATCATCGTCACCATCCTCATCATCATGTCCATCATCATCGGGACACCATCATCCTCATCATCGGAAAACCATCATCATCATCTCATCATCAGTCTGAACAATATCATCAACATCATCATCATCATCAGCGGGGCACCATCGTCATCAGGTGACATCATCATCATCAACATCATCATCACCATCATCATCATCGGGACACCATCATCATCGTCACGCTCAACACCATCACCATCATCATCGGAACGCCATCATCATCACCCGCATCAGCATCATCATCATCGGGCCACCACCATCAAAATCACCATCACCACCTCGTCATCATTCCCATCATCAACATCATCATCATCGGGACGCCATCATCGTCATCATCATCATCAACGTCATCATCATCGGGATACCATCATCATCGCCGTCATCACCAACAGCATCATTCTCAACCACATCATCATCATCGGGACACCATCGTCGCAATCATCTCATCAGCTCATCGTCATCAACAGCATCAGCATCGTCATCATCATCGGGCCACCATCATCATCAGCAACATCGGCATCATCATCATCATCATCATCATCATCGGGACACCATCCTTATCACCACCATGGCCATCATCATCACCATCATCATCATCAACATCGTCGTCATCATCATCATCGGGACACCGACGGGACACCGGCGGGACACCGCGCGGCACCGGTTGCCGGAAGGGAGACGTTTGGTCCGGCCGCGCCTCAACCAGAGGCGGGACATTTCTCGCCCGCCCACGCAGCTGCGCCTCGCCCGCACGCACGGCACGCACGAACACGAAACCGAAACCGATTTCCCGGTAGGGGGCCTCTCCGTTCCACTTCGATCTCACCCCCTCACCTCCGATAGAGAGAGAGGGAGAGAGAGAGAGAGAGAGAGAAAGGGATATATATATATATGTACACACGTACACATGTGCATATATATATATATATATATATATATATATATATATGTGTGTATGTATTTAAAAATATACATCGACCAGCGTTGGCATCAGGTATATAAGACGACACAAATCAAGGACCCCGAGGAATCAAGCATGCTTGGAGCCCGCAACTCAGCAAGCAAGTAAGCGTGCAAACAAGCGCGCAAACAAGCCAGCAAGCAAGGAAGCGAACAAACAAGCAATCAAGCAAACAAGCAAGCAAGCATGCGTGCAAGCAAGCGAACAAGCATAGGCATAGGCGGAGGAGCGCTCAGAGGTGGTGCATAGGAGGAGGCATAGACATAGGAACGCTAAGAGGTGGTGCATAAGCATAGGCAAAGGCATTCGCACGGGCGTAGGCATAGGAATTCGGGGGGGTGGCACAGGCATAGGCATAGCCATAGGAATTCGGGGGGGCGCATAGGAATTAGGGGGCAACGGACAAATTCATACAAACTCGTAGGTTTGAGTTAGAACTCCTATAGAGTTAGAACTCCTATAGAGCAAGCATATTTGGCGAAATGACAAAGCAGAGAGAGAGAGAGACACACACACACACATATATATATATACATATACATATATATATAGAGAGAGAGAGAGAGAGAGAGAGAGAAAAACAGAGAGAGAGAGAGCGAGCGAGAGAGAGAGAGAGAGAACATCAAAAAAACATAGAGAGAGAGGGAGAGAGAGAGAGAGAGAGAGAGAAAAGGAGAGAGAAGGAGAGAGAGAGAGGAAACAAAGAGAGAGAGAGAGAGAGATCGGACGAGTAGACGGGAGTCCCGTCGACAGCCGGCTACTGCGGTAGCCGAGGCCGCCATCGTTCCCTTGGCGGTGGTGCGCACCTTGAAAGACGGGGAGCGTTGAAACAACCGCACCCTGGCGCGAAGCGACTGAAGCTAGCGACGGGGTGCTGAGCAGGCGATTCGCCGCTTCTCTCGGCGCCCCGCGGGGGACAAGGGCCCAGGTCGGCAAACCCCCGGTTGGCGGACGGGGGACAAGGGCTCGACCGCTGAGCGGCTTGCGAACGACGGGGCGTCCCCCGCCGCCGCAGCCAGGTCCCCCATGACGCGGGGCCGCACGGGCTATCGGGCTGGCAAGAAGTGGGGCCTTCGGCCGTGATGGAGGCCCTATGCAGGCGTAAGATGAAGCATTTCACAGTGAAGCACGCGTGGCAGACAAGCTGGTGCCAGTCAACGCGAAGGTGCGCCCAGTGAGCGGCACCTCCGCTGTGAATTTGCACTTGCTGCAGGGCGGCCACAACAGCGGCGAGTGCGACAGGTTCCAGCACCGCTACAGCTGTGGACGCGGCTCACGCAGGGGGGGGGGGCAGCGCCCTGGTGAGGCAAGGAAGTGACGCGCCCGATGCAGCGGGGTCGTCAGAAGTGGTAAATTAGTCGGTCTGCTGTGGAATCGGACTGTGTGCGCGCTGTGTAGTCGGGCTGTGGCGTCGGACGGCCGCGGCTTGGCGCTGGGGCGTCGACGATCAAACTGGCGGGGAGCAGGTGGGCGGTGCACCCGTTGGCAAGCGTGACGATCCAGTATTGGTGAGCGTCGCAGGAGCGGCCTCGGACGACACCACGGACACCGTGGATTGGGTTTTGCTCCTGGCCCTGGACGGCGGCCTCGGCGCCGACTTGGACCCCGAGGTCCGGGTCGGTAGGTTGTAAGGACGGGGTCGCGCCGGGAGCCCCCGAGGGCGGTGCGCGGCGCGTCTCGGCGCGCGGCGCCCCGCGCCCGCAGCGGGAGGCGGGGCCCAGGTGGCCAGGCGGCGGTTCGCGGCGGGGACGCGGGCGACGGCGGCGGAATCGCGGCCCAGCCGGCGCGCGCGGTGAGCACCCGGATCGTGGTCGGTGGGGCATCGGCGGGGGCGGTGCTCGCTGGCCCCGCGCCGTGGCCTGCGGGCGCACGGCGGCTGGGCACTCTGAGGGCGCGTGTGGCTCGCGAGCGCACGGCCGGAGGGCGCGTGTTGCTCGCCCTGGGTGGCGTTCGCACTCGCCATCGCACGGACGTCCATTCCCTGTGTTTTTGTTCGGTTTCGTGCGTGGTTTTCTCGCCAAATGATCAAGGATGCTCCTCGATGGTCCTCGCCGGAGGGAAAATGCACACGCCCGAGCGATGCCAAGCGCAGGGCCTGCAGTGGCGGCCGAGGTCGTGCCGTAGAAGAGGAGCGTGGCAAGCTGCACGAGGGCCGCGCGCAGGGCGAGCGCGGCCCGTCTGGGGAGGGCAGGGCCCGCCGTGCCTGTGATGCCGAGGGTGCTACCGATGCACGAGGGGCTGCTGCCGACGAACGGGGGGGTCCGGCGGGCCACCGAAGCGGCGCGGCGGCCACAGGGGAGCCCTGGGGCCCGAGAGGCGAGGCCTGGGACCCGGAAGACCGCGGAAAGCGAGGCCGTGCCGACGGAGAACAGGCTGCCGAGGATCGCGGGGATCGTGGCGAAGCACGCGCAGAGCTCGCCGATGCCATCGTGGATGCCGAAGGCGGCCTTGTGGAAGAGCGGCGGGACGCGGGCGATCAAGTGCAACGGGTTGCTGCCGTTGATCTTCGGGGTCCAGCTGGCCGCAGTAGCGGAGCGGCGGCCTCGTGGATGCACAAGAACGCGTAGCTCGTGCAGCTCGCCCCGAAGACGGTGTACGTCATCTCGGAGATCTTGAAGGGCGCCCCAAGGAGTGGGAGGGGCGCGAGGTGGAACAGGAAGGGCATGTTCATCCAGGATGGGAACGCAGAGGGCGCAATCATCGTGATGAGCAATAAGAGCCTACTGCTCAGGACGCGGCTGTCGCGGAGGTGGCCGTACTGCAGGAACGCCACCTGCCTCCCTGCGGAGTCTTGCCCGTCTCGCAGCTGCGGAGGCGGGCCGCGACGAGGTCACCACGCGCGGTGCGAACCTCTGGGCGGCGGCGCAGGCCATTGCGGCGGAGGGTAGCAAGTATGTACAGGAAGCGGCACGAAGGGGTCTCCCGGGGTAAGGGCCCCGGCTACAGTCTCACCGGGCTGGGAAGCGCGGAAGGTTTCGCGTCCTGGCCACGCTCTGTTCCTGCAGGAGCTCGGGCCGAGACCGGAGAAAGACAGAAAGAGAGAGAGAGAGAGACACAGCGAGACAGAGAGAGAGGAGAGAAAAACGAGACAGATAGAAAGAGAGAGAACGAGAAGGGAGGGGCTAGCAGGGTCGGCATCCCCTCTTGCCCCGCGGCCTTTGCTGCCATGTCCCTGAGCTGCGCCATGCACAGCAAGGTGGTGGCGCCGTATATCCCGGCGGGCAGCCGCTTCAGCGCCTGCGAGGGCTCCTCGCAGCTTGGGTCAAGAGCACGCGCCCCTTTCTCGAAGGCCGAAATTAGCGACCACTCACGCACTATTCATCTGTCAATGCCCCCCCCAATGATCAGTGTTGGCGGTGGGTTGGATGAGTTGCTCTTCGATCGCAGCCTTCCCCGCGCGTGGCAACTTTGAAATTTAGGGGGCGGGGGAGTGTCCACGACTTGTTTCCCTCCACCGCGGCCCAGGCGCGACGAACGTGAGGGCTCCCTTCCAAAGCCAAGGCTGCTCCGGACCACCGTCCCATCCGTGCTGCGCTGCTGGCTTCGCGGTCCCAAGCGTGGGGGTCGAGGCCCCCTCCGGCCAAGGCTCGACGGGGGCCTCAGAACGGCAGTGCCAGTGCCCCGGCTGGTTTTCTGCGGGCCGCGTCGGGTCTCAGAGAGCAGCCAGCTCGGCAAGGTGGTAGCGGGCGCGAGGAGGAGGAGGAGGAGGAGGGCACTCACTAACAAGGGAAGGAGGAGGAAGGGAGGGGGGAGGATGAATGGGAGAGAGTGAGGAGGGGAGAGGGAGCAAGAAGAGGGAAGAGGGATGAGGAGAAGGATGAGGAGGATGACTATGATGATGATGACAACGATGATGATGATGATGATGATGATGATGATGATGATGATGATGATGATGATGATGACAATGATGATGATGATGCTGATGATGATGATGATGACGAGGAGGAGGAGGAGGAGGAGGAGGAGGAGGAGGAGGAGGAGGGGGAGGAGAGGATGAGGAGCGGGAGGATGAGAAAAGGGTAGGACAAGCTAGGTGCGCTCGTGCCTCATCTGACATCCTATCCCTCCCTCCCATCCCTTCCCATGGTGTTGAGTTTTCTCTATCAGCGGACGCGTGTCATAGCTGACCTGCGACTCACGCATAAAGACCACTTCGTGCTATACGCAATCGGAAACGGGGGAGCTGCGTGCACAAGAGGTGGCGGGTGAGCAGGAGGATGAGCGGGAGTAAAAAGATGAGGACGAACAGCAGCAGCAGGACCCACAGCGAAATGATCGGGAGGGAAAGAAAGACTGGGGGAAGGCGGAGGAGGGGAAACGAGGGGGGCGACAACGATCAAGAAAGACTCTGATTCACACATTTGTCCCGCGCTGGGGCGAGACGAACAGCAGCAGCAGAAGGAACTGGAGTGGAAGGAGCGGGAGGAGCAGGAGGATGAGGGGAAGCGGAGAGGAAATGATGGGGGGAGCACAATGAAACAAGACTCGGATCCAGAAAAGTGGCCCGTGCTGGGGTGAGAGCGCCATTCTCAACAACGGGAGCAATGCGCAGATCCAAAAATGAGGCCCACGCTGCAGCGGGAGCACCGTGTTGAAACATCGGGAACACTTGGACGGAAAAAACCGAATGACATCATAGTTTGAAGTCCTGCGCGGATTTTTGTTTAAGAAAAACAACAGCACGCGGAGGGGGCGGGAGGTCTTCAGGACAACTTCAGTGGAGGAGGTCGAATCGTTTTCGCATTGTTAAATTGAGGAGGGGAGGGGAGGGAGGGAAGGGGGATGGTCCTCGCCGATGAGGTTCACCAGCTCGCCCCATGCAGGCAGCGAGCACGACCAGCGGTGGCAGAACCCCTGAAGCCTCCTGATGAGGTTCTCGTCGTCGTCGACGGAGGTGTCCCCGTCGGGAGCGTCCGCCGCCTCCCGCTCGCCCGCTCGCTCGCGCGCGCGCGCCCAGCAGAGAATACCATCTGCTCCGTGACCCCGCCTCATCCCTCCTCCTCCTCCTCCTCCTCCTGTTCTTCTTCATTTTGTGTTTTCTCTTCTTCTTTTTCTTCTTCTTCATGTTCTTCTTCTTGTTCTTCATATGTTGCCTCCTTCTCTTCCTCTTCCGTCTACTACACCGCCTCGACGCCCGTGCGTGATCAGGATAAACGAAAAGCAACAAGAGTTCACACATCAGAATGAGGGGGCCGACCGGTCATTCACCGTCCCTGGGCGCGTGGCTGAAGTGAGGTTCCGCGGTGTGGACTGTTGTGGTTGAACTCTCACTCGAAGAATAGATATTGCTGATCCACCCTCGGTGCTCGCACCTTGTTTACATCAAGGACAATCTTCCTGCTCAAACTACGTCGTGGGGCCCCGAACTACATCAACGGCTCCCGCCTTATTTTCCTCACAATGTATTCCAAAATCGCGCTCTCGCGCAGGATTTCCTCAGAGTGTATGCCAGAATCGCGCTCTCGTGTGGGACTTTCTCGCAATCTATTCAATAGCCGCGCCGTCGACACTCAGGAATAAACCCACTCGTTTTGGGCACTCTCACGATTTACTTGGGAATTGCGCTATGGCTCAAGGTTTCCTCGCGATTCATGCAGGACTCACGCTTAGGCGTCCCGCCTGTTCGACCTGGCCGCCTGGGCCCGCCTCCCTGACCCGCCCACTGAGGTGTGCCCGCCCGATCTGGCCTTCTGGTTCTGCCACGTGTTTTCTGTTCTTAGCCCCCTCCTGCTAATTTCTCCCGTGATCCGTCTTTTCCCCTCTCCCTTCCCTCCGTCCTCTCTTCCGCTGTTTTAAGGGCTGGGCTACATGCGCGCGGCTGGTAAAGGAGGTATATCCCCAACGGGGTACGATCGAAAACGAAAAAGGCGGGCACCGAGGCTGTAGGATATGTATGTATGTATGTCTGTATGTATGTACGTACGTACGTACGTACGTATGTATGTATGTGTGTAGATATGTAGATATGTAGGTGTATATATGTTTGTATGTAGGTGTATGTATGTATGTATGTATGTATGAATGCATGTATGTATGCATGTATGTATGTATGTATGTATGTAGGTGTGTATGTATGTATGTGCGTATGTGTGTATGTATGTTTGTATGTATGTATGTATGTATGCATGCATGTATGCATGTATGCATGCATATACATAGATGTATGAGCAGATATTAGCGAACAGTATTTGAACACAGGTTTTGAATCTATGTGTTGCAAGGAAGGCGAATGGATAGGTGCAAACAACAGTCCTAACATGATTGTTGTTACTGCTACTGTTGTTGTTGAGCTGTCCGTTTTTTGTAAAAAATACTATCGCTGATCCCCCTGCCGCCGGTGCACATTGTGTTTTTTCGGTTGAAGTGCCCCCCTCTGGGCTCGCACCTGGTTTTCCAATCAACACAGATTCCTACTCAAAGTGGGTTATTGGGCCCCGAACTACAACAACAGCGGCTCCCGACAGATACTTTACCACAATGTATTATAAAATCGCGCTCTTGCGCAGGACTTCCAACTTATGCTGGAAACGCGCTCTCGCGTGGGACTTCCGCGCAATTTATTCAAACGCCGTGCCCTCGACGCTCAGGAATCACGCTCTCGCTTTGGTATATCTCACGGTTTGCTTGGGAATCGCGCTATCGCTCGAGACCTCCTCAAGATTCATGTGGGACTCACGCTTAAGCATCCAGCCTGCTTGACCTGGCTGCCTGGGCCCGCCTTCCCGACCCGCCCGCTTGGGTCTGCCCGCCCGATCTGGCTGCATGGTTCTGCCACGTGCTTTCTGCTCCTGACCCCCTCTCCTGCTAATTTCTCTCGTGCTCCATCTTTCTCCGTGCCTCTTCCATCCGTCCTCTCTTCCGTTGTTTCAAGGGCTGCGCTACATGCCCGTGGCAGGTAAGGAAGATATGCTCCCAAAAAAGTACGCTCGAAAAGGAAAGGTGGGTTTCGAAAGTTTGGGATATACGTGTCGCGTGGCACTCGAACATATCGGAGCAAACAGTATGGAATGTGTTGTTATTGTTGGATGTGTTGCTTTTCTTGTTGTCGAAATCTCACTCCTGAACAATGATTATTGTTGATCCCCCTGCCCGGTAACCATTGAATTTTCATTTAAAATGCTTCTGCTGGGGCTCGCACCTTTTTTTACAAGGGAAAGCGAAGTGTCACCAAACTGGGCTGTTGGGCCCTGGACTACAACAACAACGGCTCCCGCCGGATACTTCCTCAGTTTACTCCCAGATCGTGCTCTCGCGCGGGACATCCTCATAATCTATGCAGGAATCGCGCTCTCGCGTGGGACGTCCTCACAATCTATCCACACGCCGCGCCCTCGACACTCAGGAATCACGCTCTCGCTGTGGACTTCCTGGCGAATTATTTGGGAATTGCGCTCTCGCTCGAAACCTCCTCGCAATTCATGCAGGACGCACGCTTAAGAATCCCGCCTGCTCGACCTGGCCGCCTGGGCCCGCCTTCCCGACTAAGATGGATGTTTACTCCCAAAGAGGTGCGCTCGACAACGAAGAGGGCGGGTGGCGAGGGCTTTGGGATGACCCGCGAGCAGATAAGAGCGAGCACTCTAGTGCTAATCCCGTGCTCCATATCTCTCCCTCTCCCCTCCATCCGACCTCTCTTGTCCGCGCCGATCCCGAGGAGCCACCCCGAGCAGCTCCCCGCCGCGCCCGGCCGCGGCGACGGCGGCCCCGCGCGAGCACGAGGCCGCAGGCGCGGTGCCGTGGCGGGGGGCTCCCGCGCAAATGCAAGAAGACACATGCTGTGAACATGCTGTAAAACCTCCTCCTCCTCCTCCTCCTCCTCCTCCTCCTCCTGCTTCTCCTCCTCCTCCTCCTCCTCCTCCTCCGTCTCCTCCCAGCCCCGGACAGCAGCGCAGTCTGGCGCGCCACAGGCGCAGTCCGAGCAGCACGTAAGCTTGTGAGGGACGCTTGCTTGCACGGAAGCGTGAGTAGAAGAAGGAACACCGCCGTGAACGTACACTTCGGGCGCTCCGCGCGGATTTTTCTGGATCTGCGCTGGCCTCCCCTCCCTGGCGCGCAGAGCGCGCCGCCAGGGCTGGGGTGGGGTTGGGAGGGGGGGGGGGGGGGCAGCGCATAGTTATCCAAGGAATCCGCGCGGAGCGCCGAAAGTCTGCGTTTCTGCTTGCCTGTTCCTTCTTCGGGCAAGCGCGGAGAGCCCGCTGCGCGCCCCGACGGCCGCCGGGCCGCCCAACTTCGCGCGCACTGCGCCCCGGCTGTGCGCGGCGCGCGGTCGCCCCCACGCCCTCGCGAAAGGCTGGGGCTGGCCTGCGAGCAGGGCGCCTCGCCAGCCCAGGCCGCGGTGCGCGGAGCGCGATGGCCTTCGTCTCCGCGCCCCCCCCCTTCCTCGGTCCTCGATCCTCGATCCTCGATCCTCCTCCTCCTGCCCCTCCTCCTCCTCCTCCTCCTCCTCCTCCTCCTCCTCCTCCTCCCCCTCCTCCTCCCCCTCCCTCCTAGAAGTTGGACAATCTACGCAGCCAGTTGGAGTCCACGTTGTCTGAGCTCGACGAGTACGACGCCGAGCATAAGGCCGCCATTCTGGAGCTCCAGCTCACGGTCACCAAGCCTGCGTCGCCCGAGCCTCCGCCTCCCACCATCAGCCTCGCAGACATCCTGGAAGGTCGTCTCACCGGGCTGCAAGTTGACGATGGTGGTCTCTTCGGATTGGAAGACTGCGTGGAGGTGCCGCCGCGGGACCTCGAGGAGGCCGCGAGGAGAAAGAACGAGATGGCCGACCAGATCAAGGACTGCCGTACCAAACTCTCCGGCGACATCAAGCAGCGCGCCGAGGAGCACAAGGCAGCGCACAAGGCCCCGCAGGAACGCCTTGTCGCCAATAGGCGAAAGACCGACGAGGAGGTCAGCAGTGGTGCTGCTGGGACGACGGCCGAGGGCTCGGTTGGAGCTGCTGTCGGCGGTGAGTCTCCGAGAAGAGCTGCCACGGCAGACACATCTGACCCCGCCGTATGTACAGTCGGGACGTTGACCTAAGGAACCCTAAATCCGCCGACCCTGTCGGCGTGTGGAAGACGCATCCCGGTGTCGTCGTCTTGCGTGGATCACCGTCGTCGTCGTCGTCGTCGTCGTCGTCGTCGTCGTCGTCGTCTCCGTCGTGTCCTCGTCGTCTCCGTCTCCGTTGTCCCTCGTCGTCTTCGTCGTTCCCCGTCTCCTTGAGCGCGCGAGCCAAAGCGACATTGAGCAACGTCGTAGTTGAGTCGTGGCGAAGCCCCTCCCTACCCTCCCCGCCGGGGGGGGGGGGGGGTGGGGGGGGGGGGGGGTCGCCGCCACCCAGATACGCATCCTCCCCGGGGGGTCCCGGAGCTCAGAAAAGCTTCAAGACGAGCCAAGAGCGACAGAAGACACCCCCGAAAGGGTACAAGAGGGCCTCGACTCGACGAACGATGGCCCCAAGACGCCCAAGACGGCCCGAAGACGGCCCAAGAGGCCCTCAAGACGCTCCAAGAGAGCCCCAAGAGCACACCCAAGAGGGCCCCAGGCGCCAAAATCGTCAATTTTACATAGGTTTTTGAATGATTTTGGCCTTCTCGCCTTTTCGGCTTTCCGACACTCCAAGACGGCCCAAGAGGCCCCCAAGAGGCCCCCAAGAGCGCCCCAAGAGGCCTACAAGAGGGCCCCAAGACGGCCCAAGAAGGCCCCAGGACAGCCTAAGAGGCGCCCAAGACGGCCCAATAGGGCCCCAAGACGGGCCCAAGAAACGGCCAAGAGGGGGACGAGGAACCGAGAATTCGAGACTTCCGCCCTAAGAGGCCCCCGGGAAGCCCCAAGAGGCCCCCAAAAGGCCCCAAGAGGCCCCCGAGCGGCGCCAAGACGCCCCCAAGATGCGCCGAAGACGGCCTCCGGAAGCCCCAAGAGGCCCAAAAGAGGCCCCAAGAGGCCCCACAACG